CTGGGGGTGTTGATGGACAGCCGGCTGAACATGAGCCAGCAGTGTGCCCAGGAGGCCAAGAAGGCCAATGGCATCCTGGCCTGTGTCAGGAATGGTGCTGTCAGCAGGAGCAGGGAGGTGTTGGTCTCTTCTCACAAGTTACAGCCAACAGGACAAGGGAAACGGCTTAAAATTATGCCGGGGAGGTTTCAGTTAGATATTATGAAAAATTTCTACCACCCTTGGATGTATTTAAAAGCTATCTAGATATGATGCTTAGGGCCATGGTTTAGAAGTGGACCTGGTAGACTTCTGGTTGGACTTGAGAATCTCGATGGTCTCTTCCAACCATAATGATTCTATAATTCTATAAATCAACATAACAGTGAGATTTAAGCTTAGCACCTAGCCACTGAAATCATAGCAGAAAGTGAGAAACATGAATTATGTGGCTACACAAATGAGCCTCTGGAAGAGCCGGAGATGTGAGTGAGCAGCAGATGATTTTTCCTAAAGCAACTGGGGAAGCATTTCCAAATCTAAAGTAGCTCTTATCTCCTGCATCATATTTATCATCAGGGTGTGCTTTGGGTTTTTTTTAAGCAGATGATTCAGTGTAAATAACTAGGATGCAAGACTGCAGGAAGAAGCATCAGACTAATGACAGCCAAAGCAATTTCCTCCTGGGAATGGTATGAAAAATATTAACAAGGAGCCAATGCTGCTCACTGACACATAATCCTAAATCAGCATTACCCCTTCTGACCTCAAAAGACAGCCAAATATTGGAGATCCTTCTCAGGGAGCAGAAATTGACAAAGGAACCAGAAGTTTCTTACTGAAGACATGAGACTGATTAAGTTAAGAGTATCAACTACTCCTCCCTGAATTCTATGGGACTTAAATGAGAGTGGGGAATTTTATTGTGCCCACACAAACACATGAGAAACATCATTATCAAATCTGGTTTTATCCAATCACAGAGTAAGACAAGGTTTTATAATAACTCAGCCAGCCACTTTCTAAATACATTCCACTAACTGCAGCTGCCTATCCTTTAGGAGCCAAAGCTGCTTTCTCGGTGTCAACAAGAGAGATCTGTGCATCTCTATCAGGCATTTCACCCACCTAAAATCTGGTATTTTCTCTCAGAGAAACACTCCTACCCTTAACATTTGCCATAAACATCTGGTCTTCAGGGTACAGCTTTTGTTTAGCTTTTCAATGCGGATTTATACTATGGGTTATAGTCTCTACTGTTCTAGCTGTTAAGTAACTTTAAATACAACCTCGTTTTAGACAGGCTGTAAATAATCTACTGGTTTCTACGGTTGTTTAATAACCTCCACTTCATCTTTTTTTATACGATTTTGAACTCTAATGCTCAAGAAATCCTATCTATAGAGATAGCAAAGGCAGGAAACGTAAGAGGAACCAGTCCCACTTAGGTCAACAAGAAGAGACATTCGGATGAGCCTGCGAGTGTCTCTAGAAACACACTGGCTAAATTATTGGATTATAATATTCCAACATATAATTCCAAGGGTATTCTTTTCTGGAACAACTGCCAATTCTGAAAGCATAGCCAACATCCACATCCATCAATACGCATTAAATTCAAGAGAAGCAGGGACAAGCCTTTGACACCGGCCCAAGGGGAACACAGCCCCGGAGCACAGCGTACACTCATTACTCCTCAGTGTCATTGGTCTCATGCTGATAGAGAGCCAGAGGCTGGTGTCGCCCTGAGTGACCACCTACACCAGCTCCCCCCGCTCCCTGAGGAATGGAGAAACCCTTTACATGGTGCTTTTCATGCCATTATCATGCTTACCAGGATCTGTGAACTGGTACACAGAAGCAGTGAAGTAGTTTTGAAAATAAGGACAACTGCAATTTAGTATGTTTTATATGTACCTACGTTATTTTTCGTGTAATGTTCTCTACATAGAATTGCATCTTTTTTTACAAACGCGTATTAAATTTTGTTTTCTAAAGGCCCTCTTCTACATTATCCTCAGGAACTAAAAAGCCTACAAGAGTCCACACCGCAGAATATCCTCCCGCTTTAACATTTAAGAAGCTTTTCCAGGTGAAGCTGGATTGTGTACGTGTCTCCAACCACACATTCAACTCCAGCTGTTAACCAAGGGCTTGATCTCAGGAGCAGCACTGCTGAACACCACCAAGCTTCATGTCCACCAGTACCCCCAAGTCCTTTTCTTGAGAGCAGCCCTGAAGAAAAGGACTTGGGGTGCTGGTGGATGAGAAGCTCAACATGAGCCGTCAGTGTGCACTTGCAGCCCAGAAAGCCAATCGTGTCCTGGGCTGCATCAAGAGGTGCGTGGGCAGCAGGTGGAGGAAGGTGATTCTCCCCCTCTGCTCCACTCTTGTGAGACCCGACCTGGAGTGCTGCTCCCAGTTCTGGAGCCCAGAGCACAAAAGAGATATGGATGTGCTGGAGCATGTCCAGAGAAGGGCCACGAGGATGATCAGAGGGCTGGAGCACCTCTTCTATGAAGATAGACTGAGAGAGTTGGGGCTGTTCAGTCTGGGGAAAAGGCAGCTCCGAGGAGACCTTATTGTGGCCTTCCAGTATCTCAAGGGGGCTACAAGAAAGCTGGTGAGGGGCTTTTTAGGATGTCGAGTAGTGATAGGACTAGGGGGAATGGATTGAAGCTAGAGATGAATCGGTTCAGATTGGACGTTAGGAGGACGTTCTTCCCCATGAGGGTGGTGAGACACTGGCACAGGTTGCCCACAGAGGTGGTGGAAGCCCCATCCCTGGAAGTTTTTAAGGCCGGGCTGGATGGGGCTCTGAGCAGCCTGATCTAGTGGGGGATGTCCCTGCCCATGGCGGGGGCGTTGGAACTAGATGATCTTTAAGGTCCCCTCCAACCCTCACAATTCTGATTCTATGAAGCCCTGAGTATCCACACGCAGAATCACTCCCAGGACGACCACAGCATACATAACAACATCTAAGCTTTCAAATGTAGAGTAAAATAATATCTTTACGTGATTTTTTTTTTCTGTCTGCATTCATTAACAAAAAATGAAACATCAATTTTTAAGCAAACAAAAGGAGTCTTAGTAATTCCATTACCTCTGACATCCAGTGCTCATTTCTGCAGGTTTAGAGTCATGCTTTATTAATCTGTTTTTCTTGTAACAACTAAAACTAGCTACATGATAGGGTAGTGGCCTAGAAGTGCAAGTAAATACACAAAGTAACTTTAAGAGAAAAATATGTGAAAAATAATGTCTTCTAATACTGTGCACTACTTACAGCAACAACATTTAAAAATAGCTTTAAACCTGCCTGTCCTTGTTTAATGTTATAATATGGGAATTTTGGAGGTTTTTACTTCTAGATAAAGTTGCATTTAATTTTTCCCCCTATTCACATAGTCTGTGGTGTAGAGTGAAACAAAATTCACATAGGAAAATCCCATTTCAAAGCAAAAATCACCGTGTCTAAAATATTAGAAGAGTGTGACTTTGAGAAGCATCTGCACTTTTCAGTTACTAACAATTACTGCTGAATGCTAAGGAAACTAACTTGGACCCTAGAGGAAAAATTCTACAACAGAGCTGAAAACAGCACACAATAAGGAATTCAAAGTTTTGTGTCAGGAGTACATCACAGAAGAAACAAAGCAGATCTCTTGTGTAAATGTTCAAGTTACAGTCAAACACGAGTACTGACTTCCTAAGATGCTCCTTTCTTCTTGCCCATTACTTACACCTTTCCCTGTGTTTTATCATCCTCAAAGACCAGAAAGCACCTTCTGCTACTGGTCAGTTTTGACAAAATTCTTTTACATAGCACACGTTTTTTGGTCAGAATTCAGCTACTTTGGGCCATTATGTCAGACAGTTTGTTGCCCACCTGTAAACGAGCCAGGGCAGAAATGCTGTCATTCGGTCCCATAAAAACAGCAGCTGAAGAGAGACAAGCACAACTTAAGAGGATCTCGGTAGTGGCGGAGAGAAAGAGGAGGGAAGTGACTGAACACTGACTGAAAATTCACATATGCGGAGGAAACTGTGAAGATAACAAGGTTGGAGGGGGAAACAAAATACCAGAAAATAACAAAAAGGAAGAGACTGGAGAATGAGCAAAAGGAACTGTCAGCCAAAATTCTCCTGACCCGCCCTGCCGGAAGGCTGTAATCCAGAACAACAGGATACACTGCTTAATTACTCTTGTTAAAATGTAGTCTAATTATTTTTCTTTGCAGCTGGACAGAATTATATACATACCTACAACCCCAAATGTGAGGCAACCACAGTAGCGTGTGAACACGCCACATTTCCAGGCTGGAAAATTAACACAAGTCATGAGTTCTTCCTGTTCACCTGGACAGGAGTTAGGAGCTACCACACATACAACGCTTTTCTCACATCTACTCACACCAGGACACATTTTGAAGAGGCCCCAGTAGAGCTCAAAATAAGGATATGGGTTTGCAGATAGAGCTACTGCATTCAGGCAGGAAGCAGCAGATCAGTTCTAGCTTATGGTTGACTTGCAGCCGAGGGGAATGTATTCAGAACCAGCAGCTCCTGAGCAAAGCTTCGGAGCAATGAAGTCAGGTCCTGGAGGAGGGAAGCTCACTGGATCACCTTCTGGTCTCTGACTGCCTGCCAGGAAATCACTGCAGAATAAAGCCCACACCTAAACAACTGCTTACATAATTCTACGTGCATACACCACGGAATTCAGTCTTAATGCTGATATAAGAAGTATTTAAAAATCAGTTACTGTACAGGTTAACCTGTTGCTCTCCTCTTCTGAGGTATCAGCTGAGGATAATGCTTGTTGTAACAATTTTGAATTCATACTCAAGACTACATTTCCTCAACTTTTATTGCAGTCACTCTCCTTAGAAATACATATATACATGAGAATACACAGTCTACAAATCCAAGTATCTAACAAAAGTTAGCAATGTCAAAGATGATGCACCAGCCTGCAAGAGCTTGCTCCAGTCAACAGCTGTTGCCTGTTTCCACTGTGACACTTTGTATCACAGCAGAATTCTGCATCTAGAACACTGGAACAGGGAACACAAGCAAAGAGAAGTGTAACGAACACACAGAAATTGCTAAAAGCTGTCACTGTCACACTTCACACATTTTAAGAGAAGGACATGGGTCAAAACCTGAGATTATTCTTCAACGGCAACTAGAAGACGAGGTCCTAGAAAATCTCAAAATCCTCACTAATTAAAAACACCTCACAGTTATTCCTACATTTAGATGTGACACCCTAAACAAATGCTTCTTTACATTTGGAACAAAAAGAAGAGAGTAGAAGTAGCTGCTTTCTGGTTAGCAGCATATGTTCTAGCAGCTATAGCTCAAATCTACAGTTTCTGGGATACCTTTGCCTTAAAATGAACATCTGTACATTATGTACACTGTTATACTTCAAATGGATCACAAGTTATCATCCCTTTCTTGGTGCCAAGCAAAAAAAATGACCCCAAAACAATGAAAGCAGGTAGAGCCTGCACCTGAAGCACAGCTCTAAATATCCAGCTATGTCGCAGTCAGTCCCTGATAAAATAAAGGTGAGTAAAATTAAGCAAAAGTTTAACACACTTATAAGGAGCTCTGGGCAACTTCGAAAGACTCCCAAGGGAAAGCAAACTGAATAGCATTATTAAGAGCAAAGAGGAAAATGTAGATGTCTAAATGAAAAAAATAACCCAAAGAGCAGGAGGAAAAAAACCCCACCCTTTAGTTTCACAGGATTCCCTGACACTGACTCCTCCCATTTATTTCTCCCTGTATCTCTTGCAAGACAAAACATTATTAGAGGTATTCTTCCTTTTTGAAGTGGCCAATAACAGTTTCATCAGCAATGTTGCATTAGCTCCTGAATTAATTTCACTTCCTTCATTCCATAAGGCATTTACCATCAGTTCTTAGTGCACACCTTTTCAGCTGTGAGGTGAACGACAACGGGTACAAGCTGGAACATAGGAGGTTCCACAAAAATATTAGAAAAAACTTTTTCACTGTGAGGGTGACAGAGCACTGGCACAGGCTGCCCAGGGAGGTTGTGGAGTCTCCTTCTCTGGAGACATTCAAAACCCACCTGGATGTGTTCCTGTGTGACCTACTGTAGGTGATCCTGCTCTGGCAGGGGGGCTGGACTAGATGATCTTTTGAGGTCCCTTCCAACCCCTGACATTCTGTGATCCTGTGAGGATGAGGAGAGCTAGAAAAACTCCACAATCTAAAAAACTGTCAAAGAACCAGCAACCGAGAGCCCCACTATCCTGACCCGGGGCCAGGAGAGTGTCTTCTACATAATCTCATATCTTTGTAAAAGGAGCACAGAGCAGAGTACACACAACATAAAGCTGTAAAACAGTGTCTTGAAATGCCTGTGGCCATAATCTCTGGGTTAGGGATGTAATAAGATATTATAGCATAGCCCAAAGAAGGATTACTTCTTTGTAGGCTTTAAATGAAAGCAATGATACCCCTAAAAATAACGTACTTGCTTACATATTATTACTGTTTATATTACTGATTTTCATTTGAAGACAAAAATAGTATTTAACATCCAAAAACACAAATTAATTTAATATGATTTATCTTGGTTCCGCGGAATGCGCTTTTGCCTATTAAAAGACATACAGCTCACCTTTTAAACTCTTCTGTATACTGTTTTTCCCTTTTAGGAGCTTGGACCACTTTATTGCTCTTCTAGTGAGTACCACTAGATATCTGGAAAAAAATGCTTCATAGGACGCATAATCAAAGTCTTCCGGCCTTTCAAACCCATATGGATCAACCCTACGAAATAAAAAAGAATTCTTGTACAAATGTTTCTACATACCTACAGCTGAAAAAAAATACATGCAAGCATGCTTTAAATAACTTCCAGCTGCTACTTCTAAACGCAGCTCAAAACTCCCTCCTCCCAACAAAAATCTACTTTATACAAACCACTATACTCCATTTAGCACATCAAAGCTATTTAAGTAAATGAATTTAAACATGCACTGTTCAGTCAGTTTTACAGATTTCACTACTTTTATAAGAAGTTTTTAGAGCAAAAGATCCATTGTGCAGAAGTCTGTGATGTATTTTTCTCCACAATATGGACAAATAGTTGAACAGTAAGAAGGTATAGCACAACTGCTCAAATATAGTCAAAATGCACTTTCCACACAGTTCTGCATTGAAAAACAACACTAAAAAGCACAAGTTTCAAAGACTCTTTTTAGAAGGGGCAGTTCCTGAAATTAACTTCATGAAAATTTACAGCTTGGAAAAAAAACCACAAATCCTTGTCTCAGTCAAACTTCTTTTCACGCAGTATCAAAAATGCTTGTTCTATTACCTTTAACAATTTTTCAACATTAAAGCATGCTATCTTGGGCAGCGTGCCACTGATGGCATTTCAGAACTGCAAGTCTGATTCTGTTCTAGCTTGATATATCAAGTCACCTTGCTAAACTAGATTTATGGCAACTTCCCCGGTCACTTTACAGCTGCCAATTACCACCTGAGTACACAGACTCATAACCTTCCTAGAAGTTAAACAGGCAGAGGTGTCTGTCCGTGCAGAAAAGCCAGGTGTCAAGGCTTAACTTCCAAAAATACTGCCCATTTCATTCACGGAGAAGAGATCACCCATGGGATGGCACCAGCACAGCCTTGTGTAAACTCTGGCTCACGGGATCATCACGGGCAGTAAAAGCATGAATCAGAAGAGGAATATTTTCATACTGAGAGGCGTCCCTGCCCATGACAGGGAGGTTGGATTAGATGATCTCTAAAGTCCCTTCCAACTTAGGCCATTCTATGATTCTAGGAATATTCTAATTGGTATTACCTAATAGGTAGTTAAAAAAAAAATCACCTTTGGACTCATGCAACTAATCAAATTTGACACACAGGTGGGAAAAAAACCACCGAAATGTCTGACAACGGGTTCCTCCGAAGACACACAACGCGAAAACACTCAAAGATTTCCCAACGCCTCCGTGAGCGCACATTTCATATCTGTGACTGCGGCTGCTCCAGCAGCGAGTGTGGATCAATTCCACGTTCAACCTCATTCCCGAGGCAGAAAGGGGGGAAAAAATGAGGAGCCAGGAAGGACGTTTTAAGGAATTTACCTGCCCTAACCCGCCTCCAAACCCACCCTCCACCACGGCTCCTCTCGGCGAGACACCGGCAGGGGAAACAAAAACGAATAATCAAAAAATAAACAAAACTGCTTTAAGGGACTAGCAAAAGAAATAACACTGCAAGGTGCTCGGTTACCCCTCGCGGCTCGCTCCCTCAGCCAAAGCCCTTCAGATTCACAGAAAAGTTGTTAAAAAAGTGGTATTTTCATGAGTGACCCCCGCCCCGAGAGGGGCGCCCCGTACC